TAATTGCCATAATGTTTTCTAGCAGTTAGCTGGCTGTGATTCTAGGAATTTTTTTCCACTGTGTTTTGAAGGGTTAGGTTATTTAAACTTACTATCAAATAGAATTAGATCAAAGTGAGCTAATTTTTCTTAAACACTAATCATTTTAAGGCTATTGAACTAAATATAGAGTCAGTTCATTAAATCATTAAAACAGCCTGCAATAATGCTCACAAAGTCATTATAGTGCTATTCCCCAGCCAGAGAGGTGGTGTTGCCTTAAGCACAGTTTAATCAAATTAGATGGTGGGTTATGTCCTGGGGTTTCTCCTATTGATATTCATTAAAAATACATGATTTATCACTAATCTCTGTAAGGTGTATCCTACTCCTCCAAATGAATTTTGTAAATGTCAGGGGGAAGAAAACAGAATAGTTTATTGTTATAAGAATGTAAGTGTGGTGTGATCACATTTACGCTTGTATAATATGTAATTTAGTGATAGATGATAATTTTAATGTGCCTTTAAAATTTCTATCCTTAGTTAAAAAGTTAACAAAAATGGAAAACCCTCAGGAATAGCCACTTTATATTTTAGTGCTGTATAAGCATATGAATTAACTTTGGAACTAATTATTCTGTAGATCATAATATAGTTTCTCTTATAGATTGTCTATAAAAGTTCACTGTTTAATTTAATGTACTCCTTTTGGTACCATTTTCCATTTTTCCTTTTATTTGAAACATTTCAGTGTTGTAGCTCCCCTATACTTTCCTCTTTACTCTTTTAATTTTAAGGCTTGCCATATTCTAAATGTCGAGGAAACTCTGATGAGAAGACCACACACAAACATTCCCCTCTGTGCTGTCACCACTGCTCCTTTTAAGTGAAAATTTCTTCATTAATACAATGCTTTTTAATCTTGTAACAGTCTAAAAATGGAGTAGATTGATTATATCACCACTCAACCATGCAGCTGATTAGTGGTGCTGTGAGGCTCTACCACACTTCAGACCAGGATGAAATACATTTCATTAGTGGTTATTTGGAACTTTTTTCCTCAAACTGGAATTTGCCTGAATTATCCCAACTCTGAGGTGCCATCTGAATTTCTATCATTTTTGTATTGCTGTTACTTATTAATCTTTGATACCACTTGGAAGCCCAGCTAAATATCCACAGTGGTCTTGCTCTGAGAATTTCTTCTTGTTGTGTTGTCATTTCTGTTCAGGGAAGAGCCACCTACTGAACTTGGCTATGGCTCCTGCAGTGCTTTCCTTGGGTCAGGGTTTTAAAAGAATAGATTGAAGATTTCTGGGAGAAATGGATCAGGTTCTCAGTGCCCTGAAAATCTTCTGTCTATGCTCAGAGTTCACCCAACACTGCTTAGCTCATAGCTTTGCTATGTGGACAGTAGGAAACTATTGACTTGATTGTTGGGTATTAATCATGTTACCACAGAATTGCCACTTAATTGAGATGGGCTTGAATTAAAACATAAGTTGTTGTAATTACTGAGTGCTGTTGTAATTACTGAGAAGTTCATATAGCAACACTTTCAGTAGGAACTTCAGCTGTGGTTTTAAAACCCTGTCCCACTTGAATTTGTCAGCTGTGCCAAAAGCTATTGTCAATTACTCTGAGGTAGATCTGAACAGATTGCTGCTGTCATAGGCTTTGCTGTGGATTTACACTGGCATGTCTGAAAGAGGAGCTTGGTTTTACACCCCACAGAAATGGAAAAAATTCTTTTAGGTGGGTGAATACTCTGCTGGACACTTAAACACCAGTGGCTTTGGGTTTGCTGTAGCTAAATGCAATTGTGATTCTAGACCAGTTGAAGCCTCTCTAGTTGGTGCTGTTGAAGTTCCCCCCTGCCTCCTGTACACTGGCACAGGAGCTAGTTGCATGCTAAGGCAAGCAGGCTGAAGAACCTTGACCTGCAGAAAAGCTTTCCTATTGGCAGCTGAACTCATCTGAGGATGTATTATTGTGGGATTTGGCAAATGCCATTTCTAGGTGCAAGGAGGAGGTCAGGGGTTTACAACATGGTGAGGAGAAAGGCAGGCCAGGAGCAATGCTGAGAGGGGCTGGAAATGGCACAGAGCCGAACCCTGAGTTAAAGAACAGTAGTGCTTTTGCTCGTGATCTTATTTCCAACCATCTGTGGGGTTTTTGTTTGTCTGAAGTTCAGTGAGTTTTCTGAAAATCAGAGCTTTTGTATTACACTTTCTAGCTCTCGTTTTCTGAAGGAAAGCTTGAAAACCTGTTCTAAACATAATGAGGTTCCATTGACTAAGACTTGAAGAGTTCAAATAGAAAAGATACCCTTTTTCTTAACTAGCTGACCATATCATGGTTTATAACCAAACCCCTGACATTTCTGGAATGTGAGTTGTGGTTGCTGGATTTTTTCAATGTGCTGGGCTGGTGAAGTGGAGTAAAGGAAGCAGCCTCAGAGGTAGCTGAGCGGCACGAAAGCCTTGTCTGGGTGCAGGACCTGCTGGGGCAGGGTGCAGTGTGTGGGGTACAGTCTGCACAGAGCCCCAGTGGAGCTGTAGTGTAGGTCTGGCAATCAGTCCATGAGCCCTAATCCTGAATGTAATACATCACACGCTCCATTTTATACTCGTGAAAAGCCTAGCCTAAGTGAAATCCTATTAAACTGTGGGTCTAGTGCTATTTAAACATGTGCCTTTCAGTGATTTTTTATTATTATTTTTGTGAGATTACATATAATGTGTTGGTAAGTATGCATGTATAGGATTGATTCTATAATTTTTTTAAAAAGGCAATATATGAAACATTAGTTGTTTTCCTGTGATAAGTCCCCACAATAAGGTGCTGATGAATGACAGAATCTACTTACCTGGTTTTACTTTTATTTAAAAACTTTTCAAAGCAAAGTGTGAGGAGCAGCTGGCTATTATCCATAGGCTCTTCAGCTCCAAAGCCTTTAAGGTGAGATGTGAACAAGACTGTGCCTTAATTATTGGCAGCTACTAGCTTGGCTTTTCAAAGTAATAAATGGGGGTCCTTACAAAGTCTCTTCTTAAGTAGCTAAATGCATAATCCACCCGGGATATTGTTTTAAAATTCATTTCATCTTCAGTAATTTGATCAGAGAAAGAGTTGTATTGGTCATTTCTCTTGTGTAAGAACTGTGTCGCACCTAGGGGCAAGGAACATTTATTTTCATGATTAATACCTGTGAGTTTCATGGCCTAATGAGGAAGCCCTAGATGTGTTTGAAATGAAACTGCTTTTTTTTTTTTTGACCCTTTGTTCAATTAATGTAAACACTTTGACTACTGTCCTTCTCCTTGTGGGTCTGAAGATCCTGTTACACGTAGCATTTGTTTGTATATGTAGTTGCAATACTAAGGTAAGGGAGTTCCAAAACAAGTAATTTTAGGTGGGCACCTGTATATGTTTGTGTAACTTACCACATTTCTCGAAGATTAATAGCCTTGGAATTGTGAAAGTTAGTGGAATATTTTGCCCTACTTTCCCTGGCACCCAATCCAATCTCACAAGAAATCTACTGCTGGGTTTTGTGTTGCTATTAAGTCCATCAGTCTCTTCACTGCAACCTCCTCTTTGTTGAAGTCCAGTATATATATATATATATATATATATATATGTACCAGAAGGGAACCCGACTTAGTATATTCATCCCTGCACTGTTTCCATCTCATGTAATAGCTTGGGTTGAAAGTATCTTGAGGGGATTTAAACACCCCCAGTCTTCCCTCTGCTCCAGTGTAAAAGCAGCATCGGTCCTTGATCTCACTGCAGTGTCATCTTTCTCTAATGTCAACTCTTACTATAACTTGTCTGCATTCAATTGAAGATCCTTGGTGTGAAGTGTATGTCTTAATTCCCCAAATCCTTTATACCTTACGGATTTGAATGAATGCTAAAACATTCATACTTTATTTGCTGGTGTGGTTTTGCACTTGTCTTCCTTTGGTTCTCCTGCTCCTTTAAAATAATTTAATAATAAAATCATATAATCATTTAAAATACTGAAAGTGCATCTTGTTCTGTAAAGACCTGAAGAAATTAAAGGAATGCTTTGGAGTGGGCTGGGAAAGGAGGACATGGAGCCCTCATGATAGGAAGGAAAATATTGAAAGGCTCACATGTTGGAGCTACTGGTGTCATTAAATACTTATCCACAGTGTCCAGAAGCTTAAGTGGGTAGCCAGAACTCCACTGTGTAAGGCAATTAAAATGACTGATGCCTTAATAAAAAGGCAGCATGTAGTTGATATTTTGGCTTTTCGGTGTTGCATTAGCATGATTTAAATGCTGCATTTTGTTTCTGTCTGTTAACTTCAAAAATAAGAAGTGATTGTGCCAGTTGAGTAGGAGTGCCCTGAGAAAGGCTTGGAGTAGCTGGCTGTGGCCCACCTCATTCAAGTCACCTGTGCATGAATGTGATCATCTGCTTGCAGCTCTGGGAATGCCCAGCTGCTGATCTGTTTTGTGCCAGTACATGCAGGAACACAGCTCTGAGAAGAGCAAGAGCCAATTCAAAATCTGCTGGTCAGAACACTGGTGAGCAGCCTTGGATTGGGACTCCATGGACTGGTTCAGGGCCTTGTAGAAAGAGTTGAGCTAACTTGGAGTAAGTCATGTAGCCATTAGAAGGTGACCTGGGTTAGCTCCTCAGCTGACACGCACTGGGTGAGAAGCAGCATGTGACAATGCAGTGGTACTTTCACCTCAGATAGTGGCATCTTTGGACTGAGGTTGTTTGGCCAGTGCCATTAACTCCAAGATGCTAAGCTTTGTTTAACAAAGCCAATGTTATTTTAAAACATAAATTGAGCTAAATCAATAGCTGTGCTGCTCTGAATGCAGTGCTGGCAGAGACAGTGCCCCTGATTTTCATTTCAGATGCTGCTGTTAAAATTAATTTCAAGGATCCATCCTTCCCTGTGCAGAAGATAAAGCACATTAAAGACTTTGGCTGTTTATACTTATCACATCCCAATAAAAGGAGAGAGCAACTGAGAGAAGCAGAAGCTTTATTTTACCAGAGAAGAGGAAGTAGTTCTTAGAGGGTCTCTGAGGACTTTTGCCATTAGATCAAGACCCAAGACTGGAAGCTCAGGGTGCAGGGTGGAGTTCCCCTCTTGTCTCAGCATATGAAACCTGTTTCTTGTGGCCTGTCACGCAAGCATGGTCTGTTAGTCACTTTTTCCCCTGAAAACAGTTCCTGCAAATAGAATAAAACATTCTTTCACGTTAGTACAAAAAGTATAAGTATTTAACAAATTTACATGTACTTTAGTTAACAACTTGTTTGGTAGATTTAGCATCCACCCCCTAAAATAAAGACTGATGTTTCCATTAATTACATGATGATTACTTTCCAGCAGGATAAATCAGCCCCTGCTGAGCTCCAGGCTGCAACAGTTAGACTGGTACCTATGCCTGAATTCAATAATTTAAAGCTGACTTCAATATTTGTTTCACAAGTAGTACCTGTCTGAAGGCTCCTAGACATAACCACAGACACCTATAATGTCAGTAGAATCCCTGCCTTCTGGGCAAGTCTGAATCACTTCCTTTGTATTTATCAGAGATAAAAAGTAAACATGCTTATGGAGCTTATTGTGTTTCCGTCCTGCTTGTAGCACGTGTGTGCACATCTGAATGCACAAACCCATAACATGAGCTCAACTTTGAAAGCATCTGCTTTGATTCGTAAACCAGGTATTTCCCTATGAATTTGACATTGTCCTGACTTTATTCTCCAGGGGATTTGAAAGAGTGTCCAGATGCTATGAGCCTATTGGCTCATGGTGGTTTTCTCACTAATTTCCACATTCATGTGTGCATATGATATGTATGGTGTGTGTGAATATTTGTGCTGTTTCAGTGAGAAAGATGTAACCATAGTCATGTTACGTAAATAAGAATTTATCTGTTCAAAGCACTTCTCAGGAGTACATGATTTAGCAATGGAAAAAATTTCTTAATAAGTGGTGTCTGGTTTTAGTTCTGACTGCTGTCTTTTCAGACTAGACAGGTTTTGGCTGTTGCACATTTTTGTTCCCCTCTCTTTCACCCATTGTTCTTTCTACCACTAGTCTCTCACTGCTCTCAGTGCCTTCCCAGATGTTCCCCAGTCTGGAATGACTCGCCTGTCATTGCTGTTCATAACTTGCCAGTTAGGTTTGACCTTTTGGTGTGTGGTGGAACTGAATTCTCTTTTCTTCGTAACTGAAAATGTATTTTCTGAAGCAGCGTGGTTTGGGACACTGTATGTACAGAAGTGTTTTTATGGTAGTTATTGTAGTAATGAAAGACCTGTTGAGTTCTCAGCAGTCAAAAGAGTCACTTAGAATAATGAAGATGTTTGGATACAAAGCCAGTAGGTTCATTCCTGTTTTACTTCAGGGTCTCTTAGGAGTCTTCTCTATGTTCACAGCTACTTTTTTGTTGCTTGCACTTCCTCATGTGTCTCATTTTCACTCATCATGACATTGATATCACTTGAAATGCCTGGCCAGCATATAGCATCTGTTATTTTCCACACTCAGGCCACTACCCTGGAAGTGTAGAAAGAAGGATTCCTTCTTTCTAATTATTTGATTGTCTTATATATGACTTCATACCGACTCAATTCACATTCTGATTTCCTGGTTTTTTTTGAGTAGCCATCCTGAGAGAAAGATGGATCCAAACACTTATGAAATTCAGTTTGGGTGGATGCATTTTTTGACGTCAGTGCTGTGTAGCTCATTGGGATGGAACCTACATTCTGCTTCACTCAACACCCTTTTCATGTGGCAGCATCCTGAGGTTGGTGTCCTTGTTTATTAGTTCCTTGTGAAGGCTGTGCTGCATTGAATTAACAGTGTCTGTATTGCAGTTTTGTCTCTTGTCATACCAGTAGTTTGTCTGCATCTGAAGGGCTCAAACAACGGTGTCAACAAGCCCTAATAACCTCTGAGCCCAGCTGCATTTTGAGCAGTGGTATCTTCTGAGTTGCTTTTCAGATTCAGCTTGTAGCTTGTGCAATAAAAAGTAGGATGGGCTGTGTGTAGTTTTGTAGCTGTTTCCGGCTTCAGTATGTGCAACTTTTCCCCATATTTGTGCTTTCTAGCAAACACCTGAAGATACAGCTGTGCTCTGCCACATCTTCTACCATTCTGTCTCCTGTGCCCATACCCCAGAACAGTTTTGATTCGAGTCTCAGAAATCCTGCTGGTTGCTTTTGCTGAGGACATTAATATTCCTTTGCGGCAGGCTGGTTCCCACATGGCATTCCTTGGCATCTGCTGGTGCCCACTGTGCTGTGAGGTAACTGTTGTCCTTCCACAATACCTTGTGTCTTTGGCAATGAGCTCTGAGGCTGTTCTGGCCCAGTCAGGTGGTATTTCTTGGTGAGTGTTTTTTCAAAGGTTTTGCACAACTGTGTCTATGCAGAAGTCCTGATACCTGGCTCTAGGAAGGAATCAGGTGGGTACAGAGGCCAGGAGAACCCAAAACAATTACCTGCCTTTTCAGTAGCCTCATGCTGCTTATCCAGCTTGTGGGTTCTGTGGCTTTACAGTGATGCCTTCAGCATTTATTTTATTGCTCCCATAATTTTTCTTTCATGTGAGGGGTGCTTGGTGAAGCAGATGCTCTACTGGCTAGGCTGTTCTACTCTTCAGGTGTAACATGCCTGGGAAGCATCAACTACTTCAGAAACATTTTGGTAATACCAGACAGATGTCAGTCCTTTGAGCTGGGTGTGTGTGCATGTGTATGGCTAGTGATGTCTTTGAAGATGTTTGTATTCCATTTATACTTGCAAAAACATGGCTGATTTGCTCCCGAAACTTTTAGGGACCCAAAGTTTGATCTCTACAAGCCATTACTGTTGACCTTACTTACACAATGTGGAAGTGGGACTCCAGAGGGGAGGCTGAGGTGTCACCTGAAGTATGGGGGAATGAAGCCTGTGTGTCTGCTCAAACTGAGCAGATGAGGAATGTGAATTTCCTAAGGGAGTACTCGAATCAGTAGGTAGCTGATTACTCCAGGGACTCTCCCTCTCTACTTGTTTCCTTGCTTGAGGAAATGGATGTGAATGCTGCATTGCTCTGATGCTGGAAGGAAACTCTTGTGGACGCTACTGATTGTGCGAAAGACAGAATGCTGAAATGCTACCAATGCCTATACATTTCATGCCTCCTCAGTTCTGGGGCCTTCCCTACTGAGTAATGCCTCTGTGCCTGTGAAACAGCTTGTATCCAGGCAGTTCCATGCCTCAGGCTGAGCATTTCAAAATCAGAAGGCTTTGAAGAATCTATAAGAGGATGAACTTCTCCCATGGTGAGTGCAATTGTGTTCATGACTTCAGGTAAAAAATGGCATCTGTGCTAGGAGTTTTTCATCCAGGTGTTCTTTCTCCTTAGTCTATTTGCAGATTGAATGTTATGGTTGTTTTACTGCTGGGTCGTTTCAAAGTTGCTTTTGTGGGTGCAGTGTTGTTTTCTTCTTTTGTGTAATGCTGTGGAACTTCTTGTAGCTCAGCGCTGTCACTGTTGACCTACAAGCAATTTAGTGTTGCTTTTTTTTTGTACATTGTTGTTATCTTTGACTCCTAAACTATTTCAGGCTTTACCAACCGCTTGACATTGGCTGGTTTGCATCACACTAATATTATATACATCCAAATCCAAACGTTAAAAGCAAATGTTTTTAAGAGTATTAGGAAAATTGCAAGGTCTCCAAAGGTAGAAAAAGCCAGAGTCAAAACTTCTTGGACAACTTAGCTGGACTTAGTTATGTGAAAGGATGAAAGCAACTGAAGTTTAGAAACCATGCTCTGCTTCCCCAGTTCACAAATAAAAGTGAAATCTGATAGCAGGAGTAGAAGGGTATGTGGGCATGCCATGAAAGACTGTTTGAGTGCCCCAAAGGGCCCAACTCAAGGAATTACTGATAATCTTAATCTTAGGGCTTCTTAACCTTCTGAAGCCTTAAGCTGGCAAACTAGAAGATTAAACTCAGGTAGGTTTTGGTGAATAATTCCCTGTGTTTGGGGGACAGCAGAAGATAAGCTCTTTAGGCCTGCCCTATGGATATCACTATTTGCATGAATGGAATAATGGAGAGCTGCAGCAAATTGCCTGATGGTCTGGAAACAGGGTGGGATGCTCTGCTTGCACGAGTATTATAGCCATTTTCTAATGGTATTGAATCTAAGAATTTAAAGGTATTGAAGCCAGCTCGAAAGTCCAGATGCAAAGATTGTGAATACCCATCCCCCACAAAGAAAGGATGCTGACAAGAGGTTCAGGATACAGTGATTGTTCCCTTTGCAAGCAGAGTGATGTGTGTGTGTCAACAGTCTCTTGCAAAACTGGGGAGTCTTCTGTTCAAGTGTTTGCCTACCAGATTTCTGTTCTCTAGCAGGAATACTGAAGAGATCAGCTCTGTGGATTTTAATCTGTGCTTGGGATCTCTCAAGCCAGTAGCTAAAAGATGAAGACAATTGGTTTGCAACTTGAGTTCAATTATCTTTCTTTTATGTAGATACAGTGGATTCAGTATGTCATATCAGTATGACAAAAAAGGGAAGTAAATTATCCTGGGCCCTGAAACTATTGTTGGGGAAGGAAAAGATTTGTAGATGTTAGTTAACATACTTTGACAACTATTTGCCAAAGCCATTCATTACATCTGCCTCTGCATTAGAAAGGGCACAATATTTCATTTTCCATTTCCTTTCACAAATAGAAAATTAATTGCATAGACGTGCAGAAAGTGCAGATATAACTCGTTATGTATTGTTAAGGCTGTCTGTGATAAATTTATCAAGCTTAGACAAAAAGTACTCTGAAATCACAATGGATCTATCTTAATTAATGTTCTTTAAGTGACAGTTACACCTGTTTGGAAATGGGAGGTAAAAGACAAGTTTTCCAGAAGCCCAGTAACATAGTGGTCTCTGGTTTACAGGAAGCTGGCAAATATGAACTATACTTTGATTTGAGCCCTGTTATACCTTTCATGAATCAGATTTAAAGTCCTGTCTTGCAAATGAATTATTCCAGTGTATCTGTAAAAACAAACAAACAAACAAACAAACAAAACAAAAAAAAACAAAACAAAAAAACCCCAAAAAAAACCCCCAAAACCAAACCAAATTCAGCCACTGGTTATCTTGCTGTTCCTAGTGATGTAATTGAGCAGTTTTGTGGGGTAAAGGTGAACCCATTAGAGTTCATCTCTATAATGCAGTTAGGACATATGCTGTTTATGGAACTGTCCAGCCATAAAACTATCCTACTGTTATCCATTCTTGGTTATATTGCTGATACAGCTTATCTCTGCTGGTGTCATTGGAGTGCTGCTGTGGAGACTGTCCTTAATGACAGCAGAAACCAGAGGGTGATCAGAAATGGTGTCACAGTTTACAGAAAGAAGCAGCAAACAGGAGGAGGTCAGGGACACCAGGACATGTTACTGCCATGTGCCAAGTTGTCTTAGCAAAGAAATACCACAAGATGGAAGATGAGGGAGAAAATGGGAAATTTTGTGCTTTTGGCTGAAGGAAGACAGACTTGCTGATGGATGGCTGAGCACTAAGAAGAGTTTTCAACAAGCCTGATATTTCATTCTGGTTTCTTCTGGATTGGGGTTACATCCTGGCAATAGAGTCCATGGGGGTAGAACATGAGACTGGCAGCCAGAGGCTTACACGGGTGAAGGGGGAGTGTGGTAAGCACCAGTATCTTCATTGCTGTCTATCTACAGAAAAACACTTGCTGTAAAGACAGTCTTAATATGCATTTTTAAGTTCTACAGTTTTTAGATTGTGATTTAGGAGTTATTATCTGCAGGTTTGGTTTCACAGATTGACTGCTCTTAGAGCTTTTGTTACAGGTCTCACTTTCAGCTGGTGGGTTATAAACAGTCTGAAACTTCTGCTTTTCACAGGTGCTTTTCCAACACTATCCTCTGACCTCCATTTCACCTCTTTCTGTACTCCTTTCCCCCATGTCTGAATTTTTGGAGTGCTGAGATCAGCTCTTTATTTTTACCAGTACTTTTTAGGTTTGAATTCTAACAAGAGAAAATAGAACTAAGTTTAATGCAATGTCTTTCTATTTTTCTTGTTGCATTTGCCAAGAAACTAAAATTTAGAAAAAAAAAACCAGCTTGCAGAAGTTAGTATCAGCCTATTTCCTTAGTTGCTTCAAACAGTTCTAGAGTTCCTTGAGTTTTTCTGCTCAGCTATGCAGATGTGAAACATTCCTCCCTCAGTCTGAGCATGTACAGACCTCTCAGTGGCAGAGCATGATGGAATTTGTGTGATGCACATACCTCATTCCAGTCACAAGTGTCATTAACAGCAAAACCATGTTACAATTTCCACCAAGCAAACCTCAAACTCAAGACTTGAAAATGTAGGTATTTTTGGCTTGTTTTCCTGAAGTGGCATTTGTTTTATTGGCTTCTGAGATATCAAGGGTTTAGTAATGCAGGGATCTGCCTAAATAAGTGAGTTAACCGGAATCCGGTGGAAAAGATCTAGTTGTGTTTTTTTTTGTTTTGATCTGTAGGTTAATGTGTGCAGGTCAAACAATCCTTCAGTCTTCAAGGGCACCACTGCTGATGTTGGTGGAAGGAGTTTGCAAAGCCATCTCAGTGCACTTGCTGTTTTAGTGATGGACCCATTTCCTCTCTGTTTAGAGCCTCCTTACAGCCCCATTCTGCAGGAAAATTCACAGTGGTGCTAAAAGGGCATATTTCCCTTCCTTTCTTCTGTTTCTTTCCTTGCTGCAGCTCCAAATGCACTCTTTGCTATTCACCACTGTCCCATTTTATCTGTTACAATGCTGTCAGCAGAACAGCTGGTGCTGACCTCCTACATGCCATTGTTATGCTTTAGTACCAACATCCCAAGGTAGGTGACAGAATTTTCATTTCTTGGCTCGTATTTGGAATTCTAACTTGGGTAGGTTTCCCTGCCTTGGTTAAGACTCTGGGCATGAACTGAAGATTCTCTTTCACAGACAAACAAGGGGAAAAAAGTTATGATACCATAGAAGTGGAATATGCTGTTCACCCTCACAAAATATACCAAGTAGGAAGAATGGAGCTCCTGGCTTTGAATTTAACAAATCAGTGGTGTGTGAACTTAGATTTATGATGTTTCAGCCTTTTGATTTTCCTGCACTTTTCAGTGGTTGTTGTCACTGCTTTTTTTTATCTTATTGATAGAAGACCTTGAGGTTTAGTCACATGTGACTTTTATCTCTGCCAATGCCACTCCTAGATTGGATTAGAGATTAGGTTTGTCTTCTTTTTCTTCATCCTTCTCCTGGCTCCACGTATATGAGTCTACTGACCTCCAATCTCTTTGAGATCAAGCTACTGTGTTCAGCTACTGTGTTCAGCAAACCTGTGTCTGATTCTGTAATCTGAAAATTTGCTCCCTTTCAGTCAATTATTACCCAGAATTTTTGAGGATTTACAGCCTTGTCTATTCTAAGATCTCAATTCCCTAACTGTGGTTTAGAAGATGGTGGAAAGTGAATGGAAAAAAGGGAGATCTGTGAGAAGCTGAATGTTTTTCATTTGCTTCCAGAGCTGCTTCCATGCAGGACTTCTAAATCAATTTCCAAAGTCTTTGGCATAAACCTTTGCTTACATCCAATAAATAATTTTCTATGTTGGTTGCATTATGATAAATCTGAATACCCATTTCTGGTGTCCAGCTTTGAAAACCTTGATTCTTCTTAAATAATATTTAGAAAACAGAATAATGAGTAGTATGTATCTCTGACTTTGGTTGCTTGGATTTGCAGGTAAAGAATATGGGTTTGGATCATAGGTTTAAGATGCAAGGCTAGGTTTATTTAATAGGATTGGTATGTCTCATGCAAGGTGAGCTCACAACCCAGGGTTTGGCACAGCACACGAAATATCCAGATAACCTTAAGCAACAGACTGAGTTAAATTAGATCCTTATCAGGGTTACACCAATTTAGAAGGCAACAGCATGTAACTTCTGTGACACAGATTTCACAAAGTGAATAATTAATAATTAATATTATGAGGACTTTAAGAGGTAGAACAGTGAACAAATACTCTATGGCCTCTTCCCTGTGTGTGAAATACTAGTCTTTGCTGTGAACCTCTATGGAACAGGACTGTACCCTACAGAAGTTTACCTTAAACTGAAGAAAATAGAAAGAAATTGTATTTGAAGTTGTAATTAAAAAAGAATAGTGAATGCTAATTGCCTACAGCATAAAGTAGGCTGTTAAAGTAAGATTTTGTGATTTCTATTGGTTAGCTCATCTCAAAGGCTGGTGGATGTGCATAAATGTGAGAGAACTTTCAAGTTTAAATTATTTGGATTAAAAATCATACTGCATTTAAAGATATAATGTTGGTGAAAAAGTGTCCATCTTTATTCCTTCACAGGAATAGTTGAAAAGGATTAATGTCTGTCAGTAATGAAGGGCCATGGTGAGACGCCCTCTTTGGGCTCCTCTCTGCAGGCCAAAGGCAATAATCAACACCAGCACCAACAGTCTCTCTTCTGTGTCAAACAGAAGTATCAGCTTAGCTCAACCAGTTCAAACAGCTGGTTTGAACTCACCCAGCTGATTTTGTCTGTCACGTTAGGAAGGGAACATCTGAGCTCCTCTGCGGGCATAGGAGTGGATGAGGAGAAGAGTTCACAGCAGCGCTGTCCTCACTTGGACTGTGAAGAATCTGTCAATGGCCCAATTGTCTTCACAGGGTCTTTTGTGCTACAGTTAAGGCACTGCCTGTTGTGTATGGACAGGGCTGAACTTAGAGGAATGGGTCTGCATAGATCAGTCACAGCCACATCAGTAGGGAGAGAGGAATTGCTGTGTGGGGCAGTTGCACTGTGAAGAAAAAAGGCAGAGCTCACTTCCTCTCCCTGCAAAGCTATCCCTACCCTCCCAGCCCCTGCAATTATCTGCTCCAAGCTGTTTTTCCACTGGATTATCTGCAGAGGAGTTCTACAAAGAGCATTGAGAAACAAGCCAGTACAGAAGCAGTAGAAGGACTTGGGAATTTCTTTCTGATGTCCTGCTGTGTTCTAAGTCAGTTTGACATGAGATACACAAAGGTGGCCTTTGTGTCTTTACTATGAGTGAGGAGACGAGATTTGTCCAAGTCTTTTCCCTTCTCAAGACAAAGAGTGTGCAAGAAGCTCCTGGCTTTAGAGTTTACTAGCTCATCACAATCTGCTTCCCTCTGGAGATCACCAGAATGGAGGGGGGAATCAATGACAATTTATTTATCCCAAGGGACAGGGCAAGCTCCCTCAGTTTCACAACTCATCATGACTCACCCAGCTAAGTTTGCTTTTTTCTGTTTGATAGAATTGATGTATTTTACACTGAGCTGTATTATGAACAGAGTTCAAAGCAACTGTGTGTGATGGGATTGATTCTTTGTAAATGAACTATTTTCTGTTCCATGGTTCAAGCTCAGAATGTCAGAGTTACTTTTTCATTTTGGAAGGACTGCCTCTTTTCTCAGGCAGGAAACAAAAGCTTATGGTACAGATCCTTTCTTGGAACCTTGACTCTATAAATAACTGTTCTGTAGAGCACCTAAAATACACCAAATACTAGGTCTAGTATGAGCCATAGAGGAAGTTTATGCAGCTACTTACCAATTTGACTCTTGCATCAGTGCTCGATGTGCTGTTCCTTTCCACAGCATGTCAGTGGAGAAGCCCCACAATTGCAAGTGTGGCATGACTGCACGCTCTAAACATTGCTGTGTTCACATCAGGACTGGGCTTGTTCTTCTGAACCTGGATTCAAAGAGGAGCTTTAACATTTCTAGGTATATACCTCTGCTGAACCTTTAGCAAAAGGCGGAGTAAGGCTTAATATTAGTATGCTGGACTGAGGAAAATGTTAAATATGTATCCATATCAGCATCCAGCAGCTGTCAGGATAAAGGAAGTGGTGTGCCAGTTGGTGCACGCAGCAGCATCCTGTTGTGGAGAAAAATGCTGACCATACTTCACCTTTTAAGCCAGCTGTCTTCAGGGATTTTCTATCAGAATCCATCTTCAAAATACTCCTTGTCTTCCAGCCTCCTCTAAAGTCTTCTCTGTCAGGTCAGTTATTCCTCAGAAGGTTCTTCTCCAAATTTCAGTAAAAACCCAGGGGATACTTGGCAATCCACTTGAACTGAGGAAAGCGGAAATCATGACTTGGCAATCTATTTTTGATAAGCTGACTTTCAGGATTTATTCATTCCTACTGCATGTGTCTGCAACTCAATCCAATAGGCATAAATGACACATAAGCAATGGAGTAAAGGTTGTACCTGAAGTGAATGTTTCTTTTTATTTCTTCCTCTATTAAACTATTAAAAATAGTTTCTGTAACAGACCTTCAAAATCCCTTGTACCTTTGTGGGGTCATCTCAGATGTCTTTGGTATCCAGGTGTATTTTTCCTGAAAAGCTTGCTTTTTTTCAGACCACGCATACTTAGCACAGTTTTGTTTCTCAGCTCTAAAAAATTAAACCTTCAGAATCACCTACCACTGTGTCCAGTTGCTGTTTGTTTCACCTGCAGTTAATAAACTTTGTAATATGGACTGATTGTACCTAAATAGTTGATAACATTTTCATTATCAGCTTTGTTAGGAGTTTCTCACAGATGTCACAAAAGCAATGAGTCCTGTATTATGTTGTAGAGGAAGAATAGGTCTTTCAAGATCACTTTATGGAGGGGGCAAAGGTGAGAGAGGACCCTTGGGCATGTGGAGTTCCCTGTGTGTGAAGCTGATGATGGTTTAGTAGCAAGATGGGGGTTGCTGGGGCTGAACACTAGGAAATGAGGATGAATAAGCAGAGAGGAGAAGCTGGAAGCACAGAACAAGGCATCTGAATTTGATGTGATGACACAGAGGAGGATGTTAGAGGAATTCAAAGCACAAGAGTAAAATGGCTGGGGCAAAAGGCCCAGGTAAAAGGAACATTACCTTCATAATCTGCTTGAGGGGGGAGGGATCAAGAAGTGCCTGAAGGGAAAAGGTGGACAGAGAGAAGGGTTATTGTGATGTGTTGCTTGGAAATAGATGATGAATGTTTTATTCTCTGCAACCAATTATTTCAGAAGAGCACAAAAGGATGAGTGTCACTTGATGAAATGGAGACACCTGCATGTAGGTAATGATACCTCAGCTTACAATTTAAATTCTCTATATTATCTAAATCTCTGTAAATGGGAGAGAAAAATATTCATAAATGGGTTGGGTTCCTGAGGGCAGGGCCTTTACAGAACCCTGAATTGCTCTGCAGTGCGTCAAGTTTCTCTTCATTCTGCAGATTCTGTCACCCAAAAGACTCTGTAAATTGCTGGACAATTTATGGTGCCAGACTGGTTTTGGAGTTTTTGTTTTTGTTTTGTTTGTTTTTTGTTGTTTTTTTTTTTTTTTTTTAGTGCATAAAGGTAAGGTGAATTATTCTGAAAATAGGATAACAACACAAAGGTTACCCAGCACTCTTAAACAGATGGCCATTTAGTCCCAAATTCACTAGAAGCCTGCAATGTACCTTAAATTAGAAAGCAAGTGTCTCCAGCTGATAAAACCGAAACCAGAGGAACACAACGCTGTGGTGACTGTAATAATACGACTGTATTGTGTAATAACTATAATAGTGATGGTATCTGCAAGTGCAACCTTTAATTACTCTGCCTGTTTCTGCAAACTCTTTAGGAAGGAAAAATAACACCTATTTGACACATGTTGTGAAAATTAAATTTCCCAATAGACAAGAGTGTAGGAATGTCTCTCCAATGTCAAACCAAACTCCCTCCTAACACAATGTTTTAGTCTCTGACAGTGACCAATAGTAGATGCATAAGGGAGAAAAGATAAAATGTGACAAGTAGAGTATGACACTTGCTGGGTTATAATTTCCTACTTTCAGCAGTTTGCAGATTAGGGATTTTCTGAGTCTGAGCTTGTTTTCAAAGCATCTTGTGTAATAGCCTAGCATAGTGCTTTCTCTCATTTATGCCTCTATTTGCTGCCATTGTTTCTGTCCCCTGTCATTGGGTCTCCTTGTCCAGCTCAGAGTCATATGTAGTGCATTTCAGTTGACTTAGGAGCCTAATACCCATTTTCACAAGTGATATATGAAAACAGATCTTCTGAGAGTCACTGACTAGTACCCATATTGGGAGATTTCTGGAGCAATTTTTGGAAAAATGTTGTCAGAATCTGTGTAGGGTTTGGGGAAGGGAGTTGGTGAATCAGTTAAATGCTATTTTGTGTTTGAAGAGGAAAGGGGAAAAAAAGGACAATAGAAATGGGATATGTTTATGTTGGAGTTATCCAGCATTAGAGAATTTTACATGTGACATGAGAGAACTATCCTTGCCACTGGTGTAGATATCTGAAATACTTGTGTCTTTGAGTGCTCTAGTCCTGTAAGCAAATGGAAAACTATATAATCTATGGCTGGTGTACAAGACTACAGTACAGTAAAAGATTTATTTATCAGCCAAAATTCTGTCTTGCTGTATCTCTGCCTCTGTTATAGGCACAAATATTAGTTTCTTGTATGCTGTAGGTGGTTCTTGTCAAAGGGAACAGAGAAGGAGGGTCATCCCTGTTGTCCCCTTTTTTGTACTGACTTCTCTTCTAACACTTGCTAAAAGTAGCACTGAAATCACTCCAGGTCCCTTAACTTCTCCTGAGGGAGAAAGTGGAGAGAGGTGAAAGTGTCTACTACAAATACATAATTTTCTTTTCACTTCATTGTTCCTTCTCCATCTGACTTGGCAGGTGAGTGGGAATGGTGTGCAAATCGATCCTGAGGCAATCAATGATGCAGCAGCTGGCCAGAGCTGAACACCGATGCACTGAACGCCTCCAAATCAATTCACACACTGCTCTTGCTCAGGTTACCTGCCACTTCAGCAGGGAGGGATAGATGGATGAATGGATGGATGGGGAGCTGAGGGGAAAATTGCACAAAAAGTATTCTGGGACCTTTCTAAATAGGCCACTTATATGCAGCTCTTCTTCCCTCACACATACATTTATACTGCATGTAAGGATATGCTAAGGTCACGATGCAGTGCCTTGTTTGAAGCTTGGACGTTGCTCAAAGGGAGCAGAATGGGGCTCTGGAGAATGCCTGGGAAATTGTATGGAAGAGACAGAGCAGTCCTGTGTCTTCTTCGCTGTTTTCCGCTTTGGTGTTAGGTATTTAATTAGTCAAGCATTGCTGGTTGGATGTGTGCAAACTTAAATAATCCTGTGAAGTGTTGTGCCACAGGGAACTGTGGCTCCTAATTTCTAAACTCTCCTCAAGGTGAGCGGCTTTTGTTTTGCTTTAATAAGCCAGGAGTTGTGCATGTCGAAAGTGCCTATTGTACAAAGATCTCAATTTACTTGGCAAACTTCCATGCATTAAGACTCCCTGCTTTGCTGTCAAGGAGTGAGGTATCTCCATTAAGAGCAAGTGAGCCAGGAATAAATGCCTGGTCTCTTCATATTGCTGCTGCTTCCTTTTATTTTGCTTTCTTCTCCTGGATAGTAGCCCTTAATTTAGAATGTAGATTGTTGAGACTGGAGATGATTCTGGCCCCTACAGAAGAGGGATGGCACCTCATCCCCATGCCAACACGAGAACATCTCCCTTTTTCTCCTGCAAGTGGCTGGCTGTGATCCAATTCAGTGCTGTCCTTAGGGATTCTCTTGTCTGTGCCACAGTTGCCATGGTCCCTAGGGAAGCAGTTAGCAAATAATTTAGGGGTAAGACCACCCAGCAGCCTCTTCTTCCCACCAGTCACTGACATGAGACTTTGGCAAAAGACTCAGTCTTGTGTGGGAACATGGATCCACATGAACAGAGGATAATCCTGCAGGGAACCCTTCCTACACAAGGGTAGCCATGGATTGGATCCTTTGGCTTCATACATGGAACATGTCACTTGGGGAGGAGGAAATACATGCAGTTGGCTGAGAGAATTGCTGAAAACAATGCTGAAAGGCAGTGGCAGACCTGTGGAAAGACTTCAATATTGGGTGCTCCAGCCCATGCTGCTTGCAGTAACACCAGTGATGAACATATTCAGAGATTGTTACTCTGTGTGTCCCCTTCTGGTTTAGGGTACCACAAGACCTGATGTGGCACAGGAGCTGTATTCCCCTTGGAACAGAAGGTAGGAACAGCATGCACAGAACAGGTATAGCCATGTCAATAAGGAAGAACTGGCATTCATTTATTTTGTTTATTGCCCATTAATGTTAAGGAGTCCTGATACATTTGTCTGTTTTCAATAGTCCAATTGCTGCTAATCATAACAGGAAGTAAATGTTGGCCACTGTCTTGGGAACACATTGGATCACAAGCGGTTTGTGGCAGTTGTCTTTTTGCTCGGCACCTGATGAGATGAGGCCATATTTCTGACTGACTGGGGAACAAAAGTTTGAAGGTTGCCTCACATGTCCCCTCCTGCTCTGAGATAAAGCTGGCAGGTGGAGCCAGGCAGGTGTCCCAGACCCCTATGGCAGGGCCCAAGGGTGAGCTGCTGCCATTTGTGAAGTACTCTGAGCACAACAGGGAGGTTCAGGAAGTACTAAGTGTCTGAAACTACACAAGCAGGGTATTTCTTGCTGTTCTCCTGGAGAATAGGTACTTAGCACAGTTTTAATTCTTAGCTCTGATAAATCAAACCTTCAGAATCCCTTACCACCATGTCCCATTGCTCTTTGTTTTACCAGCAGTTAATAATATTGTTTTATGTAAATTCTAAGAGGATACAATATAATCTGCTGTTTGCAATCCAAATTTATGGTGAGGTTTTGTTGGTGCTGGCTGGACTGTGGTGTTCAAGTTGAGACGTAATGTTTTACTCACCTGGTACTTGTAAGTCATCTCTTACTCCCTTATGGATGGATCTCATCTAGTCAGCATGGATACTAGTTGGATGTGCAAGGGATTAGTATGGCTGTTGAGCTTCCAGAGCCATCTGGAACTTTTTTGTGTTGGCTTTCTTGAGAGAATCCTGTCTGTCATGGAAAGGGTTACCATGGTGATGCTTTGAGTTATATGTCCAAATTAGTGTTAACTATAGGTATGGAAAGTATAGGATAGCTGGATATGGCTTAAGGAGTCTACCAGCCCTTGGAGCACTCATGTAATAGTCCTGTTTGAATTGCAAAGAGGCTGGACAGGGATTGTTGTTTTACTAGGCTGAGAGTCTGAAGCCACTAATGACCATGGAAAAATAGGATGGCACTGCTTTTGGCACTGCCAAAGGTTCTTGTGATTAATGGTGCTATTGTTTGACTTGACACACCAGCAGTGCATCACAAGTTACTTTGTGTGTTAGGGAAACAAAGACTTGAACATCTTGAGAATGGCTCTTGAGGACTTGTTTGGTGACTCACCTACATCTGGCCTTCATCCAGGTAAGTCAGGCTCTAGGGCAGGTGTCATGTTGAAATGTAACCTGAACCATTCTCTGCCCAGCTCTGATCTCTCATAAAAGCCAAATGAGCTTTACTGAGCAAGCCTAGGATTGTCTGGAGTTGGGACAAAGCCAGAGCAAATTGAAATCCTGTCTTCTGGCCCCCTCTGACTTGAGCTGCTTTCCTGGTATCTGAAGACTGGATGTCACATGGCCATAGAGTTATTTACTGTAATTCCAGCA